GAATCTTCCTTCCACAATTACCAACGCAGGCTATTAGAGCATCAACTCCAATATAGTTTTCCGAAAACAAGGCAAAGCCACTTGTTCATATCAATTTAAGAAACCTTTTTAAAAACAAAACAAAAACAAACCCCAAAACCCCAAACTCAAACACACAAAAAAGAACAAAAAAACCCCTAGATTTAACGCTGTTTTGTCTCATCCATGTGATATAGGGCTCATTACAATTTGAAAGGTACAAATACAATTTTAACACTATTCAGTTTTCAGGTTTTTACAGTGATTACCATTTAAATGTTTGTTCTGTGAAGATTTCTATTGCTTCTGAGGAGGAAAAAACCTTGCATATATGTGACAAATTCAGAGAAATCTGTTTTTGTTATTTTATTCAGAATACTTGGTTATAAACCCAAACTGAATAAGAACATCTCTCACAATATTGCTTTTATTAGTTTTTTTTAATTAATCTAAATCATATCCAGCTTACAAAAAAACCCAGCACATACATTAAAATCTGCTACACGTTTTAACTTAATGCATTAAAGTCATAGAAAGCGATCTCCCAGGTCTTCACTAAATCAAATCTGGCTCTCCCTTAACAGCAATTACAGTTCTTATCTCTGTAACTCCTACCGGAAGGTTGCTGTGGATCCTCCTGTGCTAAGTCAGGAATCCCCTTCTAACTCCCAAATGGGTACATGTATGGACAGCCTGTATCAATCTGCATTAATGTAAGAATTTCCTCTTAACTCTCTAACCTACACGTTTACAGAGAGCAATCAGAACAGTTTCTTCCTGCTCCAGAAAAGATTGGTGTACAGACAACTCCAGAAAAAATTTGTATATAGGCATTAATAGGAAGAGCCTCTTCCTTCATCAGATATATCAATCACGCAGCCATGCAGCAAGTCAACAGGGAACCTGATCCAACAGAAAACTAACCGCAGAAGAACACTAGTTCTCTGTCAGATCAATGCAATCCTTTCAACAGCTGCCTGTTAGAGCAGATTAAATGTATCATGAAACCGCACACCAAGAGTTTACAAAGAACTGGCTAGCCACCTTAAAAATGAAGCAAACATGGAATAACACCTCATAAGAAGCACTCCTCAAAGCCAGCATTTTCTCTTTAACAGGCACCTGAACCTCCCAACCATCACAAAGGAAGCAACGGACAGAGAAGGAAAAAAAGCTGTATCATTTGAAATCCATATCATATGGTCTTGGTTTTCAAAACAGCATTTGGCTAGATACAGACGAGCAATAAGAAAAGTTCACGTTCTCACACAAAAGAAGAACAGAACTTCTCCAACCTGCTAAATCCACAGGATGAAGACAGCCCACATGACTAAATGATCACCACCAAAGCTTTTAAATGCCCCCTAAAACAGGCCATTGAAGTCATTCTGCATCTGTGTTTTAGTTACCATACAATATAAAGCCTATTCTGTTGGGAAGTGTTGTGATAAACCATCTTGGTGTACCTCACCCTGTGTACCTTTCCTCCTGCAAAGCCCACAAAGATACTTCAATATGTTGTTATTTTTCTCATTTAACTGGCAAAGGGCTGTTGTAACTGAACCCATCCCTGAAGACGCTACCCAGCTCCTCAGGGAGAGGTATGTAGTGCTTTCCAGAGGTGAAGGGCTCTGTTTCAGCAAGTGGTAACTACTCACATTCACAGTGCAATTAACCCTGGCATGGCCAATGCAAAGGGATATAAATTGTTGCTGAACCAAGTTCAGACTGTATCATTCTCCCCTCCCTCAGGTATAAAAAAAGATGCTTTAAGAGTTCACTAGGTTCATTAAAAGCAACGACATTCATCCAACATCTCCAAAATTAAGTCCACATTTGGTCAAATGCATAGAATTTATAAGCGCGGTTTTTTGGAGGAAGCGGGGTGGGGTGTGTTTGTCTATTTTTTAAATATTTTTAATAGTATTGAGACTAAATTTAATTTCATAGTGGGTCTCCTGTAAGTTAAGACAACAAATACAAGGTGTTAATGAAAAAAGATATATTTGACTAAGCACAAGATTTTTAAGTCAAGTGGTTTGAGAAAGTCATGTAAGCAACCTAAGCTTAGTGAAAGTTCAACTGAAATCAGACAAGTTCACTGTGTCCAAGAATCTGATTCAATATAACCTGACCTCAATTTCCTCACTAGGCATTCACTTTCGTTAAAGAAATAACATCAACATTTAATAGCACCAGTAGGTAACAAGCAATAAAGTTTCTCTACAGATAGGTATTTGCTACTCTGACTTAGCATCCACCTGTACAATGGATGTATGCTTATATATAAATATTTAGAAATACATTTTACATATCAAAAGATAGAAGCTTTTAAGTGGAAAGGAGAAAGTGAAAAGGCGTTTCTAAATGAGACTCTCACCCAGGCATTCTACAGGTACTACAACAGAAAATAACTACTATTTAAATAACTCACATGACTTACGTCAAACCCTAGACAAGGATTAATCCAACACCTTCGAGGCCTTTTTTACCTTAGAAGAGGGATTCACTCCTCAGCAAAGATACAGCTTGTGCTAGCAGAATCACTTCCACTTGACTAATTTAGATCCATTCCCCAGACCGAGTTAAAACAAAGTCCTCTGGCCAGTAAACCCATACCCATGGGGGGGCCTCCACTTGCTTGACGCTGAGCACCAGTCTGGTCCAGGCCAGCCACCTCCAGGGACCTGAACACCTGAACCCTCATCCCTCCTTAGTCCCTTTTCACAGCTTCGGAAGTGCAAACAGAAACACAAAGGCACCACCTGGGTCAACAGAAAGCCATCCCATTTTAAGGAAGAAGTACTTTTCTGAACTATTTTGTTTCTGCCCATGGAAAATAAAAAGCTTAATGACAAAGCTGAGTACACACAGCTTGCAATCCAGATCAATAACATGTAGTTCTGGTTGTCATCAGCCTGACAATTAGCAATTGGTATGTAATACTTAAGATAACCAACAGCATCAGCAGGCAAGACCCCTGGATTTTTTTCATTTAAGTGGTCTCATTCATAAGGAATAGCAATCACAGTCTTAGAGCTGGCCTTTGCCATCTGCAGTATTTGCTGGAGGTTTAAAATGTTACATACAAATAAAAGCAAGTCTTCCCAAAGTAGTTCATTAGCAACAAGCAACATCTAGGTCAGGAGACAAAAAACTTTCCATCACATGTACTGTTAACAACAGTCACCTTTTCACACAGTAAAGTTCAAAATAATCCAATCCAAATATAGGGGATGAAGACTTAACGCATCTGATCTGCATTAGCTGGACACGTGAACAAAGTGCTGAAGCACACTACCAGAAAGCCCCCTACCTACAGGGACATGGGGAGGGGGGCGGCGGACAGGTTAAACCTCACACGGCAAACCGGGAAAAAAGCAGGCTGGCTGGAGTGAAACGAAGCTGTAATCCCCCGCTGGCCTTATGTGCCACCGACGGGCGCGGGGAGCTGGGCCGAGGGGCACAAGAAGATAGGAGCAAGATTAAACAGCAAGGCAGAAGAGGAAAGGGTTTAAAAATATATATTAAAAAAAAAATTAAAAGGAAGTCACCACGATAGTAGCAGATCTAGGGGTGAGATTTACCTCCCCCTTGAAGCCACCGGAAAAATGCAGAGTAATCTAAGCGGATGCATGCACATGTGTGCATCCACAGACACATACAGACAGACACATACACGTAGACACACACACAGAGCACAGAGAGCGCATTTGCAGAGTTGCCGGGGTCCCAGTGCAAACCAGCAGGTCAGTGCTCTGGCACCCTACTCTCGCCCGCCCCCGCCGGTGCAGCGGCTGACGATGCACCGCGGGGCACGGGCACAAGCACAGGCACCGGCACCCTCCGCCGGGCCGCACCGGGCGGGGCACGGCGGGTTCTAGAAGGAGCCGCCGCCCCCCGGGGCCGCGCCGCCCGCCCGCTGCCGGGCGGATAAAGTTTGCAGCAGCCGGCAGCGGCGCCACTGCAGTGCCAGGCGCATCCGCCGCAGTGAGCGAGCCCCCGACTGCGGGCGAATGAACG